CACTACAACCTCCATCTCCCAGGTTCAAGCACTTATCCTCAGCCTCCTGAGTAGTTGGGGTTACAGGCACTCACCACTATGCCTGGCTAATTTTTTATTTTTAGTAGCATTTTTAGTAGAGATGGGGTTTCACCACATTGGCCAGGAGTTGGTCTCAAACTCCTGATTTCAACTGGTCCACCTGCCTTGGCCTCTTAAAGTGCAGGGATTACAGGTGTGAGCCACTCACTGCCTTGACATTGTATCTTTCCTATGGTTACCTATGTTTAGATACACAAACACCACTGTGCTACAGTTGCCTATGGTATATATAGTACAGTAACATGCTGTACAGGTTTGTATCCTGGGAGCACAGGCTCTGCCAGAGACTAAGTACGGAGTAGGCTAAGACCATCTAGGTTTTTGTAGCACCCTCTAGGATGTTCACACAGGATGAATTTCTCAGGATATATCCTTGCCACTAAGCAACACGATTGTGTAATTTTAAGGAAGGATGGGAAGACTTAACCTTGTCAAGTATCAATACCACTCAGAGCAATTTACAGACTCAATGCAATCCCTTTCAAAATGGAAACAGTGTTTTCTACAAAAATGGAAAAGCAGATCCTCAAATTCATATGGAATTGTAAGGGGCGCTAGAAAGCCAAAACAGTCTTGAAAAAGAAGAATAAAGAACTCACTCCTCTTTTCTTTTGAGTCAGAGTCTCGCTCTGTCGCCCAGGCTGGAGTGTAATGGCGCGGTCTTGGCTCACTGCAACCTCCACCACCCAGGTTCAAGTGATTCTCCTGCCTCAGCCTCCCGAGCAGCTGGGATCATAGGCACCCACCACCATGCTTGGATAATTTTTGTATTTTTAGTAGAGATGAATTTCACCATGTTGGCCAGGCGGGTCTCGAACTTCTGACCTCGTGATCCACCCACCTCTGCCTCCCAACGTGCTGCGATTACAGGCATGAGCCACCACACCTGGCTCTTTCTTTTTTTTTGAGATAGTCTTGCTCTTGTCGCCCAGGCTAGAGTACAGTGGCACAATCTTGGCTCACTGCAACCTCTGCCTCCTGGATTCAAGCAATTCTGCTGCCTCAGCCTCCTGAGTAGCTGGGATTATAGGCACCCGACACCACGCCCAGCTAATTTTTATATTTTGTATCTGCCTACTTTGGCCTCCCAAGGTGCTGGGATAACAGGCATGAGCCTCCACCCTCAGCCTCTTTTTTCTTTTTTTTTTTTGAAACAAAGCTTCACTCCTGTCTCCCAGGCTGGAATGCAATGGCACGATCTTGGAGATCCTGGCTAACTACCTCCTGGGTTCAAGCAATTCTCCTGCCTCAGCCTCCAGAGGAGCTGGGATTGCAGACGCCTGCCATCATGCCTGGCTAATTTTTATATTTTTAGGAGGGTGTTTCCCCATGTTGGCCAGGCTGGTCCCAAACTCCTGACTTAAGCGATCCGCCCACCTTGGCCTCTCAAAGTGCTGGGATTACAGGATTGAGCCACTGTGCCGGGCCTCCTTTTTCTTTCTTTTCTTTTCTTTTTTTTTTTTTTTTTGTTTCAGACGGAGTTTCACTCTTGTAGCCCAGGCTGGTGCGCAATAGCGTGATCTCACCTCACCACAACCTCCACCTCCAGGGTTCAAGCGATTCTACTGCCTCAGCCTCCCAAGTAGCTGAGATTACAGCCATGCACCACCACACTGGCTAACTTTTGTTTGTTTGTTTTGTTTTGTTTTTTGTTTTAGTAGAGACAGGGCTTCTCCATGTTGGTCAGCTTGGAAACTCCCGACCTCAGGTGATCCGCCCACCTCGGCCTCCCAGTGTGTTGGGATTACAGGCGTGAGCCACTGAGGCCAGCCTCTCTTTTCAACATACACTGAAGGTCCAAGCAAGAGCAGTTAGGGAAGACGAAGAAATAAAGGCACCTTAACTGGAAATGAAAAAGTGAGATTATTTCTATTTGCTGATGACACAATCTTACATATGGAAAATCCAAAAGATTCAAGAAACTGTACAACTGAGAAAGGAATTCAGTACCAGTGCAGGATACAAAATCAACGTTTAAAAATCATTTCACACTGAGAAACAGTTCTGTAAAAAAAACAAAAACGAAAACAAACCGTAGCATTTACATGTAACTATCCAAAAAAGAATCAAGAAAACAATCTCATTAATTAAAACAAAGCATCTCAATGAAAAAATAAATTAAAAAGTAAAAATAAATTTAAAGGAAGAAAACCATCTCATTTAAAATAGCAACAATAAATAAAATACGTAGTACAATAACCAAGAAGATGAAAGACTTCTACACTGAAAACTACCTTTAATTTTAATTTTTTTTTTAAGAGGCAGAGTCTCACTTTGTCACCCAGCTGGAGTGCAGCCGTGTGATCATAGCGCACTGCAGCCTCGACCTCCCAGCCTCCTGTGGTGGTGCAGGCCTGTAATCCCAGCTACTCGGGAGGCTGAGACAGGAGAATCACTGGAACCCAGGAGGCAATGGTTGCAGTGAGCCGAGATTGCACCATTGCACTCCAGCCTGGGGGACAGAGCAAGACTCCATCTCAAAAAAAAAAAAAAGACAATATTCAAGAACTGGAATAGACATTTATCCAAAGATATACAAACAGCCAATAAGTACACATTCAACATCGTTAGTCATTTAAGGAAATATAAATCAAAACCAAAATGAGACATTACTTCACACACACTCGGACTGCTATAATCAAATTAAGCATTGGTGAGGATATGGAAAAATTAGAACTCTTGTGCATTGCTGCTGGGAAAGTAAAATGTGGCTACTGTGAAAAGCAGTTTGGCAGTTCTCAAAACATTAAACACAGAACTACCACATGACCCAGCAATTCCTCTCTTCGGTATGTAGCTGAAAGAACTGAAGGCAGGATCTGGAGGAGACACTTGTATACCCATGTTCATAGCAGCACTGTTCATGAAAGCCAAGATGTAGAAAGAACCCAAGTGTTCATCAACAGCTGAACGGATAAACTAAATATGATACATACCTACAATTGAGTAACATTCAGCCATCAAAAGGAATACATTTATTTGGACAGAATCTCACTCTGTTGCCCAGGCTCGAGCGTAATGGTGCAATCTCAGCTCACAGCAACCTCTACCTCCCAGGTTCAAGTGATCCTCCTGCCAGCTGGACTACAGGCATGGACCACCAAGCCCCGCTAATTTTTGTATTTTTTATAAAGACTGGATTTCACCATGCTACCCTGGTCTTGAACTCGCAGGCTCAAGCCATCTGCCCGCCTTGGCCTCCCAAAGCACTGGGATTACAGGTGTGGGCCATGGTACCTAGCCAGGAATTAAATTTTGATACATGCTACAACATGGATGGATTCTGACAATACTATGCTGAGTAAAGTAAGCCAGACAAAGGATAAGTATTGTATGACTCCGCTTACATGAGGATATCCAGATTCATAGGGACAAAAAGTGGAACAGAGGTCTCTAAAGGCTAGGAAAGAGGACAAGGCAGAGTTATTCTCCTTTTTTTTTTTTTTTTTTGAGACGAAGTTTCACTCCCATTGTCTAGGCTGGCGTGCAATGGTGCCATCTCGGCTCACCACAACCTCTGCCTCCTGGGTTAAAGTGACTCTCCTGCCTCAGCCTCCCAGGGGAATTTATTCTTTAACGAATACAGTGTTCATTTTGAGATGACAAAAAACCACACCCAACTAATTTTTAAATTTTGTGTAGAGACAGGGTCTCACCATGTTGCAAACACAACAAAAAAGTTGTGGCCAGGCACAGTGCCTCATGCCTATAATCCCAGCACTTTGGGAGTCAGAGGTGAGTGAATGACCTGAAGTCAGGAGTTCGAGACCAGCCTGGCCAACACAGTGAAATCCCGTCTCTCCTAAAAATATAAAAAATAGCTGGGCATTGTGATGTGTACCTGTAGTCACAGCTACTCAGGAGGCTGAGGCAGGAGAATCGCTTGAACCCAGGAGGCAGAGCATAGATCGTGCCACTGCACTCCAGTCTGCCTGGGTGACAGAACAAGACTCCATCTCAAAAAAAGAAAAAAGAAAAAGCAATGTGGTACCTACTTCAGCAGCACATGCAAATTCATGAAGTGTTCTACATTATTTAAAAAAAAAAAAAGCGATGAAGAATTGTGGGTTAGGTTCTGAACCAGATAAAAGACATTAGGATAATTGGTGAATTTTCAATAAAATCTGTAGACTGGGTAACAGTACTTTTTTTTTTTTTTTTTTGAGATAGAATCTCACTCTATTGCCCAGGTTGGAGTATAGTGGCATGATCTTGGATCACTGCACCTCCACCTCCTGGGTTCAGATTCTCCTGCCTTGGCCTCCCGAGTAGCTAGGACTATAAACACGTGCCACCAAATAGAGATAATTTTTGGTTTTTGGAGTTTTTCTTGAGACGGAGTCTTGCTCTGACGCCCAGGCTGGAGTGCAATGGCATGATCTCGACTCACTGCAACCTCCATCTCCCGGGTTCAAGCAATTCTCCTGCCTCAGCCTCCTGAGTAGTTGGGACTACAGGCATGTGCCACCATGCCCAGGTAATTTTTGTACTTTTAGTAGAGACGGGGTTTCACCATGTTGGCCAGGCTGGTCTCGAACTCCTGACCTTAGGTGATCTGCCCGCCTCAGCCTCCCAAAGTGATGGGATTACAAGTCTAAGCCATCACATCTGGCTTGATGAACAGTATTGATTCCGTGTTCATTTCTTGGTTTAGATAGTTGTAAAGAAGATGTGATATTAGGGAAAGATGTGTTTCTAATTTACATAACACAAAATGAATAGCAGTTCCATTTCCTAAAATGGAAAAGCACCATAGTTTGTTTTTTGGAGGTTAGAGGAGTAGTTATGGAAAGGCCATGAGCTTGGTAGGCACGTGATCACTTTTAATATTTTATACTGTTCCATTTTTTAGTTTCCATAAGTATCATTACATATGAATTTTAAAAAACCAAGACATTTGAGAAATACTTAATACATACCCAGAACTGGTTCTGTAACATTAAGTAAAGAAATGCAACCAGGAGGGGTAAATTCTGTCTGTCCCAGATCACATTCCAAATAGTCAACGCAGGGAAGACTGCAAATTGTTAAAAAAGAAAAAAGAAAGAAAATCCTAACTAGCTTTACTCTGTAGAAAGCATAATCAGACAGTCAAGATTTCATGCAATACACAGGAGGGATAATCCACACCACGCAGCACTTTAGAAGTGATGTCCCAAAGACGACAATCAGTGATTAAAAACAAGAGACCCCAGAGCAGACCCTAAGTTGGGCCTGCCAAAAAATAAAAAATAAAAACAAGTCAAGAGAAAATGTGGCACAGGCATGGTCACATTGTCCATTCATAACATAGGGACAACTTGGTCTTTCAGAGAATTTCTTTTTTTTTTTTGAGACGGAGTTTCGCTCTTGTTACCCAGGCTGGAGTGCAATGGTGCGATCTCGGCTCACCGCAACCTCCGCCTCCTGGGTTCAGGCAATTCTCCTGCCTCAGCCTCCTGAGTAGCTGGGATTACAGGCACGCGCCACCATGCCCAGCTAATTTTTTGTATTTTTAGTAGAGACAGGGTTTCACCATGTTGACCAGGAAGGTCTTGATCTCTTGACCTCGTGTTCCACCTGCCTCAGCCTCCCAAAGTGCTGGGATTACAGGCTTGAGCGATTGCATCCAGCCTGATAATTTTTTTTTTTTTAAGATGGAGTCTCACTCTGCTGCCCAGGCTGAAGTGCAATGGTGTGATCTTAGCTCACTGTAACCTCCCCCTCCCCGGTTCATTCAATCCTCCTGCCTCAGCCTCCGGAGTAGGTGGGATCACAGGCGCCCACCACCATGCCTGGCTAATTTTTGTATTTTTAGTAGAGATGGGGTTTCACCATGTACGCCAGACTGGTCTTGAACTCCTAACCTCAAATGATCCACCTGCCTCAGCCTCCCAAAGTGCTGGGATTACAGATGTGAGTCACTGCACCTGGCCTGAATTTTTTTTTTGAGACAGAGTCTTACTCTGTTGCCCAGGCTGGAGTGCAGTTGTGTGACATAGCTCACTGTAGACTTGAACTCCTTGGCTCAAATAATCCTCTCATCTTGGCCTCCCAAAGTTCTGGAACTGCAGATGTAAGCCACCATAACTTACCTCTGTTGTGTTTTAAAGGTAAAATTTCAGGTCTGGCATGGTGGCTCACACCTGTAATCCCAGCACTTTGTAATGCCAAGGTAGGAGGATTGCTTGAGCCCAGGAGTTCAAGACCAGCCTGGCCGACACAGCAACCTCCTCTGTCTACAAAAACAAAACAAAACAAATTAGCCAGGTGTAGTGATGCCCTACTGTGGTCCCAGCTACTTGCGAGGCTGAAGTAGGAGAACTGCTTGAACCCAGGAGGTAGAGGCTGCAGCAAGCCATGTTTGTGCCACTATACAGACCTGGTCTCAAAAAAAAAAAAAACTAAAATTTCCAGGAGTTCAAGACCAGACTAGGCAACATAGCAAGAACTCATTGCTACAAAAAATTAAAATAAAAAAATTCGCTGGGCATGGTGGCCCATGCCTGTAGTCCCAACTGCTCAGGAGGCTGAGGCAGGAGGATCACTTGAGCCCAGGAGTTCAAGGTTATAGTGAAGCATGACTGTGCCACTGCACTCCAGCCTGAGAAAGACCCTTTCTGAAAAAAAAATTAAAACATACACACACGACTTTGGGAGGCGAAGTTGGTGGATAAAACTAAACAAAACAAAACAGAAACATACACATGCAACAGAACTTCTAAATACAGACTCTGAGACCAAGTGTCTCCTCTTGGAAGTTCCCTGAAGACAAGGGCAAGTCAGCCCACGCTAGAGCATTGTCACATACTGCAAAACAGAGGGCAGTGAGAAGCAGATGCTTTGGCTGGGCAGCTTTAGAGCTGTATGTCTCTTCAGCTAGAAGCCAAGAAGCACTCCAACCAAATCAAAAATCCCACGTCATGCCAAAAACCTAGCAATGTGTCAAGGCCATAAGAAAAGCACTCTTACCTATTTAACAACTGGTTAATCAGGTATCTATTAAATGTTGACTTTCCAACATCCTGGGATCCACAAACCAGAATGACAGGGCAGCCATCTACTTCTTCTGCAAGGGAAACAAACATTGATTCCTAGAATTAGCCATCTTCCTTGGACACAAATTATGAGTAATAATCCTCTGGGGGTTTGGTGAACAGACACTGAGGGTGACCAGTGTGTATTACTCACCACAGGAAGCACTGACTACCTCTTCCAGGGCTGACAGGGTACTCTCAGTTAACTGAAGGCCTTTCTTTTTTTTCTCTTTTCTGATGCCAACAGACCTCAAGGCTAAATGTTCAGGATGAACCTGGGGTGATGGACTCTGAAATCAACAATTTAAACTTTAAGGTGAAAAAAGGCACATTTTTTTTCTTCAGTACTAAATTAAACAAGCCTTACAGAGTTGTGAGCCAGAGAAGATAAATTATTTCCTTCCTTTGTCTTGTGCTCTAGAATCCAACCCAACCACACGTGTTGCCAACTCTATTTCTTCCTAAAGTAGTTCACGCCTGTTTTCACAGTTTCCTCTGCAGGAGACTAACGAGAAAAAGAAAATGCCTGGCGAGGCATGGCTGCACAGGATACCTTCAGCAGGAGGCCTGGCTCTAGACTAGGGAGGTGACGTAGAATCAAGTCAAGGCAACCTCTGAAAACATAAAGCAAACACACATAGAAATATGCAAGCAGAGTTGAAAGGAGGGAGAAGACATGTCTGTGAAGTCCAGAAGGACTGGAAAAGCAACCCACGGAAAGGAAGAGCAGGCCCTTGCTGAAGCAGGTAAGGCTCAGATGGAACCAGTTTACTACAGAAGAGGATAAAGGAAGGGACCCGCCTGTGAGCACACCCTCTTGCAATTCATCAACCCTGAGAATAAAGACATCATAAAGAGTTTGGGCGCAATGGCTAAAGCCTGTAATCCCAGCACTCTGAGAGGCTCAGGCAGGCAGATCACGAGGTCATGAGTTCAAGACTAGCCTGGCCAATATGGTGAAACCCGATCTCTATGAAAACTACAAAAATTGCCGGGCGTGGTGGCGCATGCCTATAGTCCCAGCTACTCGGAAGGCTGAGGTGGGAGGATCGCTTGAGCCCAGGAGTTCTGAGCTGTAGTGCGCTATGCCAATTGGGTGTCCGCACTAAGTTCGGCATCAATATGGTGACCTCCTGGGAGCGGGGGACCACCAGGTTGCCTAAGGAGGGGTGAACCAGCCCAGGTCAGAAACAGAGCAGCTCAAAACTCCCGTGCTGATCAGTAGTGGGATCGCACCTGTGAATAGCCACTGTACTCCAGCCTGGGCAACATAGCGAGACCCCCATCTCTAAAAAAAGCTATAAAAATTAGCCGGGTATGGTGGTGCACACCTGTAGTCACAGCTACTTGAGGGGCTGAGGCAGAAGCAGCACTTGAATCTAGGAGGCAAAGGTTGCAGTCAGCCAAGATCGTGCTACTGCACTCCAGCCTGGGTGACAGAGTGAGACTCCATCTCAAAAAAAAGAAAAGAAAAAGAAATGAGAAGCAGCCTAGTGAGGCTTCCTATTGGCAATACTGGATTCTAGAAAACAATGAAACTCAGGCTTTAACAATTTGAGAAAAAAGGCTTTTGAACCAACCATTCTATACTGTGTGCAACTATCAATCACTGAGGGCAAAGGACATTTAACAAAATTAGATAACAAGTTTACTCTCTCCCTTATGTGAAAAAACAACTCCAGAACCTACTGACATCCAGAAGATGGGATAGAGAGGGAAGTATCCAAGAAAGAGCATAAGAAATATGAACAGTGAGCCGGGCGCAGTGGCTCACGCCTGTAATCCCAGCACTTTGGGAGGCCGAGGCGGGTGGATCACGAGGTCAAGAGATCGAGACCATCCTGGTCAACAAGGTGAAATCCCGTCTCTACTAAAAATTCAAAAAATTAGCTGGGCACGGTGGCGCGTGCCTGTAATCCCAGCTACTCGGGAGGCTGAGGCAGGAGAACTGCCTGAACCCAGGAGGTGGAGGTTGCAGTGAGCCGAGATCGGGCCATTGCACTCCAGCCTGGGTAACAAGAGCGAAACTCCGTCTTAAAAAAAAAAAAAGAAAGAAAGAAATATGAACAGGGGTGAAGTCCCAGAAAAAACACATAAAGCTGAAAATAAATGAAAAAAGAATGTGACTTCCCCATGGCATCTGGAGCATTCACATTCAGTAGCAAATGCTTGGGAACAGGCAATTGCATCCCCTCCTCTGCAGTCCTGGTCCAGCTACTGGATTCTGAGTGACTAACAGGCAATCACAACAGTCCGTCCACTGTCCCGCTCTCATTTCCTCTCTCCTTTCACTTCAGATTTCCGACACCCACCTCGTATCTATCTGCTTCCCACAAAGCGATGACCTTGATTCCATTTCCCAGTGCAGCAGGAAATAATCAAAGGACACCTTCTGCTTCCTCTGGCCCTCTCCTAGGCACTTCCTCCAGCCACTATGAATGACCTGGCTGTGCTCCTAAGGCCACATGATGCCAGAACTGGGCCCATCCCTAGTAGCCAAGTTACAGACATAGTTCCGGCATCCTCTGTTGCTTGGCTGCCTCCCATCTCCTCTGAATCATTCCCATCTGCCATGTTCCAGCCAATTTTTTTCATCTTAACAAAACTGCAAAACTCTCCTGATCATACTTACCCAACTACTACTTCATTTCTTTCCTTCCCTTTACCGCTAACTTTTACCAAACTCTCGAGTCCCTCTCCACCCAGGCTCTTGACCCTGTTCCAATCAGGCTACTTCCCTCCCTCTACAGATGGTGCTTTCTCAGGTTTACCTGACTACCAGCAGCATCTGTCACCACTGTTCAGTTAAGTCTCCTTCAAAGACTTCCTGACCTACAGGATATCACACACTGGGTTTTTAGCCAACCCCGATGAATATCTTCTGCTCCCTCATCTTTGCCTGGACCTTTTCTTGGAGTGCCCCAGGACTCAGAGCTGGAACTGTCTTGTTTCTATCTCTTCAACTCCATCAGCATTATTTATTTATTTATTTATTTTTATTTTTATTTTTTTTTGAGACGGAGTTTTTGCTCTTGTTACCCAGGCTGGAGTGCAATGGTGCGATCTCCGCTCACCACAACCTCTGCCTTCTGGGTTCAAGCAATTCTCCTGCCTCAGCCTCCCGAGTAGCTGGGATTACAGGCATGCGCCACCATGCTCAACTAATTTTTGTATTTTTAGTAGAGACGGGGTTTCACCTTGTTGACCAGGATGGTCTCGATCTCTTGACCTTGTGATCCTCAGCCTCCCAAAGTGCTGGGATTATAGGCGTGAGCCACCACGCCTGGCCTTCCATCAGCATTATCATCGAATCTGATGGCCTAGGTATCCTCTCTGCTGAAGGCTCCCATATTTACACCTCCCCAACTCTTCCCTGAACTCCAGACTCACGTATTCAACTGACCATTTGACATATCCAACTGGATGTCTACCAGGTATCTCAAGGTTAACAAATCGAAACCCACTCCTCCTGCAGTGTCCCCAACAACGGCGAGTACGTGCGCCTCAGTGGTTAAGTGAAAAATCCTGCTGTGATTCCTTGATTTTTCCTCACAACTCACATATCCAGTCTGTCTGCCAATCCTGTAGATTAGACTCCACCTACTGGCCCATGAGAGATAACTGCCGTAATAGAACTTAAGGAAATGAATAATACAGCCAGCAAAAATTTAGACGTGAGGCCAGACACGGTGGCTCACATTGTAATTCAGCATTTTTGGAGGCTAGTGGATCCTTGAGCACAGGAGTTCGTGAGCAGAAATCGTGCGACTGCACTCCAGCCTGGGAGACAGAGCGAGGCTCTATTTAAAAAACAAAACAACAGGCCAGGTGCGGTGGCTCACGCCTATAATCCCAGCACTCTGGGAGGCTGAGGCGGGTGGATCACGAGGTCAAGAGATCAAGGCCATCCTGGTCAACAAGGGGAAACCCCGTCTCTACTAAAAATACAAAAATTAGCTGGGCATGGTGGTGCACGCCTGTAGTCCCAGCTACTCGGGAGGCTGAAGCAGCCTCCCAAAAAAACACACCCAAAAAAGCAGGGCTGGTTAGTTCAGTTTAGTTGGTTAGAGTGTAGTGCTAATAAAAACCCAAAAGCACTTAACCAACCACAATATAAAATGGTGGCTTTCATTGAGGAATAAAGCTAAGCAGGGGAGGATGAACATCTTTCGTGATATACCTTTCTATACTATTTTCCATAAACACGTATTACATTCTATAGGACCTACACAGTGGCTGAAGGAAGTGCCTGGGAGAGGGCCGAGAGTGTTCATGTGACAGACAAACTGCTCTTCCAAGACAACATCATGCATAGTCATTTGATATCACTGTTTTGGTGCAAGTAATTAGCAAAACTCTGAATGAAAACAGGTTCTACCTCTTGCACAAAAATGTAGGATGCACCTGGATAGCTGGTTATGAAGTTCACGGTGGTAGTTTTCAGATGTTCCAGCAACACAATGGAACACAGAGGAGAAAAATTCTTCATCGACCAACGCCTGTCATCTGTAAAGAGAAAAATAAACCACCTTAGAAGTAGTAATTTCATTATATTACTGGCACACCCTTTAGGACTGCCATCTCCTCAGCTAAACTATAAACATTAGGAGAGTAGGAATTACAGTTGAGAGCCTTTTTCAGGGGGTCATATTGCATACTAAGATCACACCTGGGAGGAGAAGTCAATCTAGGTTTGTCACATAATAACTTTGTGGCCTTGAATAATTTTTCTTGCCTGTAAAATGGTGAAAATAATAGTACTTGGCCGGGCGCGGTGGCTCAAGCCTGTAATCCCAGCACTTTGGGAGGCCGAGGCAGGTGGATCACGAGGTCAAGAGATGGAGACCATCCTGGTCAACATGGTGAAACCCCGTCTCTACTAAAAATACAAAAATTAGCTGGGCATGGTGGTTCGCGCCTGTGGTCCCAGCTGCTCGGGAGACTGAGGCAGGAGAATTGCTTGAACCCAGGAGGTGGAGGCTGCAGTGAGCCGAGATTGTGACATTGCACTCCAGCCTGGGTAACAAGAGCGAAACTCTGTCTCAAAAAAATAATAATAATAGTACTTTCACTCTCAGGACCCTTGCAAGGGTCTATATAGATATACAGCAAAGTTTTTAGCACAATGTCTAGATCATAGTAAGCATGGAAAAATTATTAATTAGCCTTATTACAGTAGGTCCTCAGTAAATTATTACCCAGTTCTTTTTATTACCCAGGTTAAGATGAGACTTGAGCAACATCCGGGCTTCCCTTTTGAGTTCCTTCTTGCTCTTCTCAGGCATCGAGTAATGAAGTGCATTGATAGTCAGGCAAGAGTGGGTATACACAGAGAAGATGTCTTGCGCAGGCTGGCCTTGGCTGATGGTAAAACCAAATACCTGCACCTGGCCGTAGAGGCAAGTCACACGACAGATGCCACTAAAAGTAAAACCCTAGCAGGGAAAGAAAACAGAAACAACAAATATTATAGATCCTGTCACTAAGGACTGAAACGTTCTTTATTTTTTGAGACAGAGTTTTGCTATTGTTGCCTAGGCTGGAATGCAATGGCCCAATCTCAACTCACTCAAAACTCCGCCTCCAGATTCAAGCAATTCCCCTGCCTCAGCCTCCTGACTAGCTGGGATTACAGGCATCCACCACCACACCCGGCTAATTTTTGTACTTTTACTAGAGATGGAGTTGCTCAGGCTGGTCTCGAACTCCCAACCTCAGGTAATCCGCCTGCCTTGGCCTCCCAAAGTGCTGGGATTACAGGTGTGAGCCACTGCGACTGGCCATTCTGAAACATTCTAAAATTTTAACTTGCTATTCATACATCAAAAGGCAGGTAAGACCAGGCACAGTAGCTCACACTTGTAATCCCAATACTTTGGGAAGCTGATGCAGGAGGATCACTTAAGCCTAGTAGTTCAAGATCAGCCTGGGCAACATAGTAAGACCTCTCTCTCTACAAAACATTTAAAACTTAGCAGGAGTACAGTGGCATGCATCTGTGGTCCTAGCTACTTGGGAGGCTGAGGTGGGTAGACAATCTGGGAGGTAGAGGCTTCAGTGAGGCATAATTACACCAATACATTCCATTAATAATAAATACTGGGCCAGGCATCGTGGTTTACACCTGTAATCCCAGAACTCTGGGATGAGGAGGTGGGGGAAATCACTTGAGGCCAGGAGTTTGAGACCAGCATGGACAATGTGGAAAACCCCCCTCTACCTGACCCCACCCCCATCCTCACCATCTCCACTAAAATTATAAAAATTAGCTGGGCATTTTCCTGTAATCCCAGCTACTCCAGAGGCTGAGGCATGAGAACCGCTTGAATCCAGAGGCAGAGGTTGCAGTGAGCTGAGATCATGCCACTACACTGCAGCCTGGGCAACAGGGTGATATTGTCTCAAATAAATAAATAAATAAATAAAAATTAAATAAAACAAACATTTTAGAAAGGGTATAGCCATAAAAAGGAAAGAGATCATGTCCTTTGCAGGGACGTGGATGGAGCTGGAAGCTGTTATCCTCAGCAAAGTAATTCAGGTGCAGAAAACTTAACACAGCATGTTCTCACTTATAAGTAGGATTTGAACTATGAGAACACATGGATACATGGTGGGTAACATCACACTCTGGGGCCTGTGGAGGTCTAGGGGAAGGACATCAGGAAGAACAGCTAATGGATGCTGGGCTTAATACCTACGTGGGGCACTGATCTGTGCAGCAAACAACCAAGGCACCCATTCACCTATGTAACAAACCTGCAATCCTGCGTATGCACCCCGGAACTTAAAAATTGAAGAAAAATAGACATGTGCAGTGGCTCACGCCTATAATCCCAGCACTTTGGGAGGCTGAGGCAGGCAGATCAACTGAGGTCAGGAGTTTGAGATCAGCCTGACCAATATGGTAAAACCCCGTCTTTAAAAAATAAAATAAAATAAGGCCAGGCGCAGTGGCTCACGCCTATAATCCCAGCACTCTGGGAGGCCGAGGCGGGTGGATCACAAGGTCAAGAGATCGAGACCATCCTGGTCAACATGGTGAAACCCTGTCTCTACTAAAAATACAAAAAAATTAGCTGGGCATAGTGGCACATGCCTGTAGTCCCGGCTACTCTGGAAGCTGAGGCAGGAGAATCGCTTGAATCCAGGAGGTGGAGGTTGCGGTGAGCTGAGATCGTGCCACTGCACTCCAGCCTGGGTAACAAGAGCGAAACTCTGTCTCAAAAAAAAATTAAAATATGGCCGGGCACGGTGGCTCAAGCCTGTAATCCCAGCACTTTGGGAGGCCGAGGCAGGTGGATCACGAGGTCAAGAGATCGAGACCATCCTGGTCAACATGGTGAAACCCCGTCTCAACTAAAAATATAAAAAATTAGCTGGGCATGGTGGCGCGTGCCTGTAATCCCAGCTACTCAGGAGGCTGAGGCAGGAGAATTGCCTGAACCCAGGAGGCAGAGGTTGCGGTGAGCCGAGATCGCGCCATTGCACTCCAGCCTGGGTAACAAGAGCGAAACTCCGTGTCAAAAATAAAATAAAATAAAATAAAAAATAAAAAAGTTGAAGAAAAATAAAATAATTTTAAAAGGTAACTGATTTCCAAGTAACAGATAAGTAATAGATCACATTGTACAAGGTGACCATAATATATTTTATTTATTGATTTAGTTTTTGAGACAGTCAAAAAATATATTTTATATATTATATATATAACATATATAATATATATCATATATATATATATATAATATATATATATATATATATTTTTTTTTTTTTTTGAGACAGTGTCTCACTCTGTCACCCAAGTTGGAATGCAGTGGTGCAATACCGGCTTACTGCAACCTCTGCCTCCCGGGTTCAAATCATTCTCCTGCCTCAGCCTCCCTAGTAAGCTGGAACTACAGGCACGCACCACCATGCCTGGCTAATTTTTGTATTTTTAGTAGAGACGGGGTTTCACTATGTTGGCAAGGCTGGTTCCAAACTCCTGACCTCATGATCCACCCATCCTGGCCTCCCAAAGTGCTGGGATTACAGGCATGAGCCACTGCGCCTGGCATACGTACGTGTGTATGTGTGTGTGTGTGTTTTGAGACAGAGTCTTGTGTATACACACGTGTGTGTATATGTTTTTTTTTTTTTTGAGAGAGTCTTGCTCTGTCACCCAAGCTGGAGTGCAGTAGCCGCGCTCTAAGCTCACTGCAACCTCCACCTCCCAGGTTCAAGTGATTCTACTTCCTCAGCCTCCCAAGTAGTTCAGATTACAGGTGCATGCCACCACGCCCAGCTAAATTTTGTTTTTTCAGTAGAGACAGGGTTTCACCATGTTGGCCAGGATGGTCTCAATCTCCTGACCTTGTGATCCGCCCGCCTCGGCCTCCCAAAGTCCTGTGACATGAGCCACCACACCTGGCCTGTTTTGTTTTGCTTTTTACTATTAAAGTCCCTTTCAGGACAGGGCAACTGGGCTCCCATCTGTAATCCCAGCACTTTGGGAGGCTGAAGCAAGAGGATCACTTCAGGTCAGCCTGGCCAACATGGTGAAACCCCACCTCTACTAAAAATACAAAAATTAGGCCAGGTGTAGTGACTCATGCCTGTATTCCCGGCACTTTGGGAGGCTGAGGTGGGCGGATCACCTGAGGTTGGGAGTTCAAGACCAGCCTAATCAACGTGGAGAAACCCGTCTCTACTAAAAATACAGGATTAGCTGGGCATGGTGGCACATGCCTGTAATCCTGGCTACTCAGGAGGCTGAAGCAAAAGAATTTCTTAAACCTGGGAGGCAGAGGTTTGGGTGAGCCGAGATTGCCATGGCACTCCAGCCTGGGCAACAAGAGCAAAACTCTGTCTAAAAAAAAAAAAAAAAACTCACAAAAATTAGCCGGGAGTGTGGTGAGCACCTGTAATCCCAGCTACTTGGGAGGCTGGGGCAGGAGAATCACTTGATCCCTGGAGGTGGAGGCTGCAGTGAGCTGAGATTGCGACACTGCCCTCTAGCCAGGGCAACAAGCGTGAAACTCCCTCTCAAATTAAAAATAGGGCGGGCATGGCGGCTCACACTTGTAATCCCAGGACTTTGGGGGACTGAGGTGAGCGGATCCCCTGGGCTCAGGAGTTCAAGACCAGCCTGGCCAACATGCGAAACCCCAATTCTACTAAAAGTACAAAAATCAGCCGGACATGGAGGTGAGCACCTGTAATCCCAGCTACTTGGGAGGCTGAGGCAGGAGGGGCAGGAGAATCACTTGAACCCGGGAGGCAGAAGTTGCTGTGGGACAAGATTGTGCCAATGAACTCCAGCCTGAGCAACAAGAACAAGACTCCGTCTTAGGGAAAAAATAAATAAAAATAAAAATACAAAAACTAGCCGGGTGTGGTGACGCACGCCTGTAGTCCCAGCTACTGGGGAAGCTGAGGCACAAGAAGCACTTGAATCCGGAGGCGAAGGATGCAGTGAGCAGAGATCGCGCCACAGCACTACAGCCTGGGTGAAAGAGTGAGACTGTCTCAAAAAAACAAATAAATAAAAATAAAATAAAGTCTCTTTAGCTCTTAAGGCCTAGGGACCCCTTAACAGGGTAACTGTTACCCTGCTCTTCATGGGAGCCTAGACCACCAACACGATGGACTTGAATCCGACTTGCAGCTGAGTTAACAGGCCCTGGAAACCCTGGTCGTCTCCTAGCCTGCAGCTCTCCCGGGGCTGCCTCTCCAGCCCTCCCTGCCCTCGGGGTCTCCTGCCAGTGCCCCTTACTTACCTGTTCGACCGGCAGCAGCAGCAACGCGCGGCCAGGACCCACTGGCCGCACCGGCGGGATGGGGAGAAGCCGGGGACAACGCGAGGCGAGTTCGAATTCGAATTCGGGTTCGGAGGCCGGGGTCGGGCTAGGGATCGCGGTCTTGGGTCCCCGGGCCGCCGCCACGCGGGACACCTGGCGGACTCCCTCCCTCCAGTCCACGCCGGCAGCCTGGGCTTGCAGTAGTCGCCTCCGTAGGCGCCGCCGACTGCACCAACGCAGGGTCCAGAGCCGGCGGCGGGGTCGGCGGCTGAGGATGAGCTGCGGCCGGGCCTTTCGGGCCCGCAGCCAAGTAGAGCGGCAGGAACCCCGCTTGAAAAGCCGCCCTGAGTCCGCCATGCTGAACCCCCCAGCGCGCACCTACCGCGCGAGAATCTCGCCAGATCCCGTCGCTCCGCCCTGCGGCCCGCCTAGCTGCCTAAAGGAGCAGCCTCGGAGCCGCCCGCGCCCTCTTTCGGCAGCCTCCGGAAGCGCACGAGGAGGCTCCCACCGGCCTGGTCGCAGGAGGTGGGGGTGGGGCCTGGGGGCTCTGCCACCCCACCTAGGACTCCATTTACATTATGCAAATTCTCTACCCCAGCCTCCCGGGGAGGGAAAGACAGAAACCTCGAGACCAGCCAAGGGCCACCTCTCCGGAAATCCACCAGGGATTTTATTTTTTTCTTCTGCAGAAAAAGCTTTAGGATTGGCAGTTTAAACAAAACCTGTCTATTTGCATACCTTCGGTTTGCATGGATTTGTCTCGAAGTGAACAACACCGGGTAACCAGGCGAAAGTATAAGACGATTGGCTCAGAATCTTATGTTAGAAAACTGGAGACTGGGGGCGGGAGGGTGTCGACTCAAACTCAAAAACAGGCCCAGGTAAAAAGTTCTAAAACTTCACAACACCCGGGGAAGTTGTGTCCCAGCCTCCCGTCTCGCCCCAAAATGCCAGGGCTCCCTTCCTGAGCCAGGTGAAGTCACAGGCACCAGAGTGTGGACAGAACCCACAGATATCCAGAGGAAGGATCACTGGGTGCCTCCTGCTTTGCATCCGTGCCTTGGTCCTGTCCAGTTCCTGAGTGGCACCGCAGGCCCGGAATGCCAAGGCAAACAGCCCTGCTTCAGCCACCGGGCTCCAGCCCCACCCCCTTCCGGGGCATGAAGTTAGGAAGCATTGGCTGCTACCTTCTATTTAAGCAACTGGCCTCCTTAGGGGACACTGGTTGGCCATGCTGGGCATGGGCGTGTGGCCAGGATGCTGCTCCACACAGCTCACCTGGCCGGCCTGCAGCTTTTCGTTTCCTGCTGCCGGGCCTTTGCCTGTCACAGCATGGAGTCTTCTCCTGACTTCAGCCTCCCAGGGGATTACCTCCTGGGAGGCCTGTTCCCTCTACATTCCGGCTTTTTGCAGGTCAGGCACAGACCCGAGGTGACCCTGTGTGACAGGTGAGTGAGGGGGTCAGAAGAGCCACACTTGGTGGGTCCCATGGCAATGGGGCCTCTCTGGCTGCCATCCTTAACTAGGACCTTGTCTCTCTACTTTTGCCCCTTGAACTGTCCCCAGCCCTTACCCATCAATCCACGTGCCACCCAAGGGCTGGCTAGACCTTCCTGGACACTTCGGCCAGTTTCCAATTATTTCACTCTTGCTGTTAGAATAGGTTGTATTATAACTCCATTGAAGTCAGTTTCTGGCTTTGTACCATACCTAGATGGCAAGGCCTAAGCAAGGGCGGCCTTTTCCATCTTCTATTTTCTCTCCACTCCTACCCATGTTCAAAGCTCCCTAGAGTCCCAGATGACTGTGGTGGGGTAGACCACATAAGTGCCAAGGAAGGAATCAGAAGCCTCAGCCTATTGCCATATAAATAATGAAGAAGAATATAACTAGAGACATAACCATAGTCATTATTCATAGATGATCTTAGTCATTCATATGTGATCTTAGTTATTCATATGTGAACTTATTCATAGGTGATCTTAGTTCTTTTACTAATGCCTCTCAGGTCACAAAATGTGAACCTGGGGTGACACTGTGAAAGAAATGACCCTAAGGCAAGATGCTTTAAGCCCTCTGTCACGACCCCGCCCCCGTAAGGGCTGCTGGAGGGCACCTTGGCTATGCTGCGGGAAAGCTGTTTTGCAGGCTGTGGAAGGAGGTGTCGGAGATGTCCCCTTCCCCGGAGGAGTTAGGAGAAAACTCCCCTCCTCCAAGCTCTTGCAGTGGGCCTGACGGCTCTCAGGGAGCCCCACAGACATCCGGGGGCTTAATTGTGTCTATGTGATGCTGTGCCTCATCGGTCACATTCCATGTCCACTCTCATGTTCCACTTCTGCACCTGGTTCCTTTTTTCTTAGAAGCGATAATCAGTAAAAGTAATATAAACTTTAATGTCTTTGTTCTTTCTTGACAAGTATGGAAAAATGCTGATGCATTATGCTCCTTACCTCATCTCCAAGACTAAAAGCCTTGGGCCCCCATCCCTATGTCACGTGGTGTATTTGACCCTATCACTGACCACCAATGCCACGCCCTACCTGCCCTGCCCTCAGCTTTATACGCAATAAAAGTCAGAGTGTGCGGACTCTCGGGGCCACTGCCAGACTCCACACTCTGATTGGCAGTGGACCTCTGGACCCAGACTCTCTTTTCTCTATCTCTGTGTCTTGTGTCTTTTATTCCTACAGTTTCTTGTCTCCACACCAGCAGAGAAGGGCTCAAAGGACCCTGTATGGCTGGACCCTACAGATGACAAGTATGGTTCTCTATGGCGTGGGAAGGGAAGACACATCCCAGTAGATGCTTTAGGAGCTTAAAGATAAACTAGATTTAGAATGTGTCATTGCCTTGATAGTAAAAATAAAATAAAATAAAATAAAAATAAAAAAAGAAACTAGATTGGGGCCGGGTGCGGTGGCTCATGCCTGTAATCCCAGAACCTTCAGAGGCCAAGTTGGGTGGATCAGGAGGTCAGGAGATCAAGACCATCCTAACCAAAATGGTGAAACCCTGTCTCTATTAAAAATACAAAAACTAGCTGGGCATGGTGGTGCATGCCTGTAGTCCCAGCTATTCCATAGGCTGTGGCAGGAGAGTCGCTTGAACCCAGGAGGCAGAGGTTGCAGTGAGCTGATTACACCACTGTACTCCAGCCTGGCAACAGAGCAACACTTTGTCTCAAAAAAAAAAGATAAATTAGGTTGGTGCCATCATTAAGTCAACAATCTAAGTAGAGAGGAACTACTGCTATTTTTTTTATTTTTATTTTTTTGAGACAGTCTTGCTCTGTTGCCCAGGCTGGAGTGCAGTGGCACAATCTTGGCTCACTGCAACCTCCTCCTCCTGGGCTCAAGTGATTCTCCTGCCTCAGCCTCACAAGTAGCTGGAATTATAGGTGTGTGCCACCACACCTGGGTAATTTCTGTATTTCTTGTAGAGACTGGGGTTTCTCCATGTTAGCCAGGCTGGTCTCAAACTCCTGACCTCAAGTGATCTGCCCGCCTTGCCCTCCCAAAGTGCTGGGATTACAGGCGTGAGCCACCGCACCTGGCCTGCTTTTCCTTTAAAGAAGACAGTTGCTTGCAGACTGTGCAAATCACAGATCCAGAGGCCCAAGAATGCTACCAAGGCTTGGCTGCAGGGCATCCTACCCATGAAGCACACGAGATGGTTGGCCCAGGAAGAAGGTTCTGGAAATCCTGGTGTACGAAGACTTACTCAAAGAGCTACAGATAAAAACCTGGATAGGCTGGGCACAGCGGCTCATGCCTATAATCCCAGCACTTTGGGAGGCCAAGGCGGGTAGATTACCTGAGGTCAGGAGTTCGAGACAGCCTGACCAACCATTTTTAGTAGAGAAACCCAATCTATACTAAAAATACAAAATTAGCCAGGAGTGGTGATACATGCCTGTGATCCCAGCTGCTCCGGAGGCTGAGGCAGAAGAATCATTTGAACCTGGGAGGCTAAGGTTGTGGTAAGCCAAGATTGCGCCATTGCACTTCAGCCTGGGCAACAAAGAGCAAAACTGTCAAAAAAACAAAAAACTGGATAAAGAGAACAGGCTGGAAAGAGAGGTTGGGTAGGGCAGGAGGAGAGAAGATGTGAAAACTGGCTTCAGGTGCCTGAAGAACTGTCTCACACAGGAGGCACGAACCCTCCTTTGAGTGACTCACAGTACAGATGTAGTAGAAGCCATGGAGGACCCTTCTAACAGAGGCTGGAAAGTGGAACAGGCTAGCCCACTTTGTTGTTTGTTTATAGAGATGAGGTCTTGCTCTTTCCCCCAGGCTGGAGTGTGGTGGTGCAATCATAGCTCACTGCAGCCTCACTTGGGCCTCATCCAGCCTCAAGTCATTCTCCTGCCCCAGCCTCCCAAGTAGTTGGGACTACAGGCATGCACCACCACTCCTGGCTAATTTTTTTTTTTTTTTGAGACGGAGTCTCACACTGTCACCCAGGCTGTAGTGCAGTGGCACGATCTTGGCTCACTGCAATCTCTGCCTCCTGGGTTCAAGCAATTCTGCCTTAGCCTGCCGAGTGTAGGGTCCAGCCCTACAGGGTCCTGTGAGCCCCTCTCTACAGGAGTAGAGATGAGAAACGATCCAAGATGGCTGATCACTAACATCTCGAGATTGCAGCTCCCAGTGAAAGCATAGAGAATGAGAGGATGCCACACTTTCAAATTTTTGTCGCTCATGGATCAGAAGATTCCCAGTGGAGGAGCCCCATGGGTCACCAGCGTGACTCTTGTGGCCGGCGCAGCGGTTTTGCCGGCACCTCAGTGCGGCAGCTCTTGGTGCAGAGTAAATGGGACTGGTTCTCCTTCTGACCAACGTTTGGAGCTCCAGGAAGGCAGAGTTGCCTACAGACTCAAAAAGGAAGCCAGACTGGAGATTCCCAGGCAGAAAAGCACCATCAGTCTTAATGCCGTTGTTTTGGCCAGTGCCGTGGGTTGCTCATATTTCAGCCCTGAGAATTAACAACTTGGACGTCCACTCAGAGACCTAATTTGAAAGTTGGTAATTACAAAGATGACAGGTGGATAAATTTACAATGATGGGAAGAAACCAGTGTAAAAAGGCTGAGAATAGGTGCTCAGGCGGCGACCATGGCGTATCACGGCCTCACGGTGCCTCTCATTGTGATGAGCGTGTTCTGGGGCTTCGTCGGCTTCTTGGTGCCTTGGTTCATCCCTAAAGGTCCTAACCGGGGAGTTATCATTACCATGTTGGTGACCTGTTCAGTTTGCTGCTCTTTTGGCTAATTGCAATTCTGTCCCAACTCAACCCTCTCTTTGGACCACAGTTGAAAAATGAAACCATCTGGTATCTGAAGTATCATTGGCCTTGAAGAGGAAGACATGTTCTACAGTGCTCAGTCTTTGAGGTCACAAGAAGAGAATGCCTTCTAGATGCAAATCACCTCCAAACCAGACCACCTTTCTTGACTTGCCTCCTTTGGCCATCAGCTGCCTTAAACGTTAACACCAC